TCATGGCACTGGAGAAAAATTAATTGCTATTTGACCACAATTATGATAATTAATTCTCACTTCTGGGAAGGAAACAGAGAAGTAAACAGGTTTATTCAGAAGTCAAGTGAGTGGGTCATAATGTGGCTAAGTGCCAAATGATACATTACAGAGAGTGTACCATTAGAAGAGGGAATACCTTAACTGCTGAAGACATATGGTCATCACGGATAGCAATAACATGTTGTCCCTCTTACCATTTCTAAATTACTTTACTTTGTTTCATGATTAACTGATCATTGGTAGGTTAAGAGACTTCATTTGCAAGTCTTATCTTTCAAACATGAAGATGTGCAAGAAGCACATTTCTTGAAATCTAACATGATTTCAGATCCTAATGGTACCATATCTGTAATGTGTAGTTTGGCTATCAAGTGCCTATCAATATTTAGTTACTAAGTATTTTTCAAAAATCTAGCTATGTTAGACAAGCTATTTTAGCTTGTGCAACAAACAAAAAATGAAAACTAAAGAGTTGTGGAATCAGAAAGACTTTCGTACAATACACTTCCTTAGATACATGGATCATAATAAACCATGTTTTTATATATTTGGAGATTGCAGTAGATACCAATAATCTAACTGTGTCTGAGGATTGAAATACACAAAATATCAGAATAAAATCAACCTGTTAGTCTAAGGCACTGCAGATCTTTTGCTCTTAACTATTGTTAGTTATGTCATCAACAAGATAGGTATTTAACTGTCCCTCTAATAGTATGCAGGGTATCTTAACAGCCAAGAAACTGTTACTTACTACATAAAATCTGCTAATGGCACTTCCCCATATGCTTTTATCATACACTTATCCTGTTTCAGCTCTCCTATGTTTCGTCACTGCATCTTCTGTCATTGTTTTTGTTGTACCAAAACAAACAAACAAACAAAAAACAATCCATATGCTTTTATCATACACTTATTCTGTTTCAGCTCTCCTATGGTTCGTCACTGCATCTTCTGTCATTATTTTCATTGTACCAAAGCAAACAAGCAAACAAACAAACAAACAAACAAAAAACAAAAACCAACCCCCTCCCCCCCAAAATAAAAACCTTAAGGAAGAAAAGATGGAGTGATGGCATTTGTCTGGCAGTGTTAGGAATCCATTAACTGGAAACACAATAAGCACATGAAATTGCTCATGCCAATTAGGATAAAATGGTCATTAATTACAATTCCATGAGATCTAGCATGATGCTTTATATAATAAGATTCTGCTGAGTTTCTATAAGAATGGCAAATGAAGCTCTGCAAGGGTGCAACTTCTTAAGGATCGCATAAATGAGAGGGGAAAAAATATTACTTAACATCCAGGGTCCAGCTACAATTTAATTTTGCAATTTTCAACCACTTGCTACATCTCAAGATTTGTTGTCTCCAGTACATGCCCAACTTAATTCCTGCCATTTTCTTTTGCCTTATCATCAGCACGCTCTCTCTGGAAATGCTAAAGTCAAGTCCTTTGATCCAAATGTCACCTGTAAGCAAGAATGCATGATCACGACATTCCAGGAGGTTTACTTTATTTCTGAAAGCTTTGAAGATGCAAAAGAAAAGATGAGGTAAGTTGTTGAGCATCACTGGGAGAGTGGAAGATGCCTCTATTTAGCTATTTCCTTTTTTAAAAAGGGAAAATATTCTCCTCATCACTGTGAAGATGGTGTGACTAAGCAGTGCCCTGCACCGGCTAGGACTGGGTCATCATCCTGAAAGTATCCAGTTCAAATGTCATCTTTTCACATGTTAACTGGCCTTCAACAAATCACTGTCTCTTGACCTTCGCATCCCTCATGTGCAACTGAGAGATATAATAATACTCAACAGCCCTGCAGAGTTGTTGTAAACTATACAGAAGCACTGTGTAAACGCTGTCATTGTCTACAATAAATATATTTGCCAGTGCAGTTTTGGGATTTGCTGAAGGCAGCTTCACGTCACAGGGCTCTACTATTTTATGCCGGCTGGTAAAAAATACAGCTGAAGATGTGGGAAAAACAATACCTTCCATTACATTTAGGTATGGTTTTGAGGTTGGTGGTTAGGTTCTCCTTATATCGTAAGTCTACTTGTAGCTCACAGTATGGATGCCACACTAGTTCTGGGCTACACATCACTGGAATTCCTGGACCCTCCAGCCTGTTGTGCTATCACTGGGCAAAGAGCCTTTTGGCCATCTCGCTAGCTTTTCTGGGCAGTAAGGCACAAACACCCCCACTATACCTTCTCATGCTTTGGATTAACCTCCCATTGTCCCCTCATTCTCTTCTTTCAGACTCACTTCTGCTTCTTAAAGCCAGGAGCCAGAGGTTCTGCTATTTCTCTTCCTTGCCCTGAGTTAACGGGTTGAGTACTCTTTGTATGCCTCCTTCTAAGGCTACCAGGGGCCTCCCCGTTTGTGATTATTCCTGGCATCAAGGACAGGTCTCTGGAATGCACAACCTTCTCCATATTGCTTCTCTCTGGCTCCCATTATCTGTAGCCAATCTAGCTAGTGGTGAGGTTTGTCAGAAGCTGTAATTCAATACATCTCAGGTTCAGTAGCCTCTGGAGAGCTACATATCCCCTACCGTTTGCTCTGCACCAAGGAGCCTGATCTCTAGAAGGCCAGGGCCTCACATGCCTCGGTCTGGACCTTGGAGCCCTGCCCTCTAATTTTTACAGCAATTTTTTTTCAACAGAGAAAGCTCTCATGTCTTTCAGTGCACAAATTAAAGGGCTCCTCAGGTGGTAGAGGCCCCTCAAACCAAGGCAAAATTGTCCCATGCCCCTAGAGGGCACATGGGGACTTTTTTTGGGGGGGGGCAAAGAGAGCTTGGATGATAGAAGTCCCATTCTGCCTATACCCCTGTTCTACAGGTTCAGTATTTTTCTCAGTGCTGTTGCAACATTACCAGTGGATCCCCACAGCCAGCATCACACTGGTTTTCGCCATAAAATGATTATTTTTCCCTTTCTCTAATGGGTTATAAAGTCCAAATCATTTTCAGAATTTCTGCATCTCTCATGTCTTTCAGTGCACAAATTAAAGGGCTCCTCAGGTGGTAGAGGCCCCTCAAACTAAGGCAAAATTGTCCCATGCCCCTAGAGGGCACATGGGGACTTTTTTTTGGGGGGGCAAAGAGAGCTTGGATGATAGAAGTCCCATTCTGCCTATACCCCTGTTCTACAGGTTCAGTATTTTTCTCAGTGCTGTTGCAACATTACCAGTGGATCCCCACAGCCAGCATCACACTGGTTTTCGCCATAAAATGATTATTTTTCCCTTTCTCTAATGGGTTATAAAGTCCAAATCATTTTCAGAATTTCTGCATAATTCTTATGATACTGCAATGCTATATTAAGAGGAATAGTAAATGACTGAAAGCTACATTACAGTATTAAGGTTTAAACTGATATAAAAATATTTTTCTCTCCCCCCCCCCCAATCCAAACAGAGAATTTGCAAAGACTATCAAGCGTCCCTTTGGAGTGACTTATAACCCGTACACACAAAGCATTCAGATCCTGAAAGATACAAGAGGCATTGCTAATGTGGTCAATGAGCTACGGCATGAACTGGACATTGTCAGTGATGCCCTCAACAAGATGGGCAGGCAGCTGGGAATCTAATCTACCTAATGACCATCAGTCTGTATCACAGCTATGGAATCTGTCTTCAAGACAAAAACACTTTTTGTGTGTCATGCGGAATGCCATGTTTCAAAAACTAAAGGTGAATGAAGGGGAAAATTATTTCGATGAATCTACGGCCTTCTGGAAGCACTCATATCAATGATTACATGCTACTTTCTTTTCTCTGGTGCCCATTCCAGTGATTTGGAGGGACATAATTGTTTCTAAAAATATTGAGAAGAATAAGATTCACTACAATGAAAGCTTGGTGATCCATTTAGTCAATTATACTGTAACCAGTGATGGCTGTGCACATGCAAAATTGGTGTGCACATCCCATTTCTCTATTAAGGCTACTGCACTGCCTCTAAATGTGAATATACTTGCATATATGGGACAAAGAATTCATAGTATAGGGACATATAGTATAGGAAGCTATATGAGTGCTGGATGATGGGTAGCTGATGCTCAAATGGCATCCTTTTACTACCACGTAAAGTGCATGCTTTATGCACTTCTTTATTAGCAAATATATTCACATTTTGGGTTTTTGCATGCATACATTCTTTACTTGGTAATTGTAAGATTAACTGAAATTTTGCTTTTGTGAACAAATCAACAAGTTTAGGTAAAACTGGAGTTATCTCCTGCAATTAGTTCAGATATTATACGTACTAGTTCATGGAGACACTTCACACATTTGGTTAGGCATCACGAGTTGTATACCCAAGAGAAATTCTTGTTGTGAACCAGCTTTTAGGGACAATGTTATGTGAAAGCCTCACATAAATCCTCAAAACCTGAGCTCAAAACTGTGGGCTTGAGAATCTCACACAGCTGGATGTGAATTGCAGAAACACTGCAGCCAATACTTTCACATTAAGCCTATCTAAGAGTTGTTTTATACTGATGCCTATCAAATTAACTAGTACTGAGGTTCTCTAACTCCATCTCAATGACTCAATTAAGTTGTGAAAAACATTATGACATCCCCAAAGATAACAATGTGACAGTGGGCTGGCAATTATTCTTAGATCTTTGTCCAGCTCTAAGTTTGAAAGTCAGTAGCAATGTGCTGGTTGGTGCCTTATCCATGTTATGACCTTGCTTGGCAGCAGCTGAACTGGGGACGTTTCTGCTACACTTAGTTCCCCATTGTGTGTTCTGGGGAGCTGCAAGACACATAGAGAATAGCAGGTGCCAGCAAACAAGATGGTGGACTGGTTGGCTAACATCAGGTTGCTTTCTGGTATAACCTTTTGCTATACAACCATATGAACAACTGGCATTTAGTTTAGTTGCATGCAGAAGATCCTAGGTTCAACTTTTTCTCCATTAACACAGCTAGAATTCTGAGATACTCCTCATTAAAGTCCTAGAATTATGTAATTTCAGTGTAGCCATTACTCTGCTAGATGATCTCACTCATTATAAGACAGTGGCCTACGTAACATATGTAGTTGTCTGCTTTCCATATTATGGCTAGATTGTTATTAAGATGACAGTGAACTTGTGCCTGATTTTAATCTTTTGTTTAGCCACCCCTTTCAAATTGCATCTATAATTGATTTGCTTTTCACATTTTCACAGACCTTACTTTTTTGGATACTGTAACACTTTGTCTTAAACCATAATTTTATTTAGTTCTTTAGAATTTGAAGTTTTGCAAAAAAGTGAAACCAGGGGCCTGGTTTTCTGGATTCTTGTGTCTGTGTGTGTTTGCATTCCGATTCAAATTGGAGTATTGCAACTGTCTTTGAAACATCCAGGAATCCACTTCCAATATGTGTTGTCACCATATGTAAGCATTTATATTCAATTTTTAGCATGTGTAAACTTAAGTCATATGTGTTAGTAATTCCAGAGTGATTTGCTGTGGTAATGGAATACTGAAGAATCCAGAGTACTGTACTTAGTCAACAACTTTGAAAATGTCAACAGTATTGTCAAATACAAAATACAGAAAGTTAAGTGACGAATCATGTGTGGTTTATTTTGATTCTACTGCTTTAAAGTTTTTGAAAACTCCACTTTTATATAGCACTGCTTCATCACACCTGTCATTCATGAACATTTTTGTCTCATTTTTATATAACTCTTCCTCCAAGGTCAAAGTGGTGTTCAAGGTCTCCTTGGCTGTCATTTTACCTTTCCTACAACTCTGCGTGATGGGTTACGCTGCTGGTAATTTCCCCTCTGCTAACTTCTTCAAACTTAGTGTAATAATTAAAATGGAATAATTAAAATGGAATTCAGCCTGTGCTTCAGAAATGAGCCTACCACTCATCCTCCACACCTTCATGTATTGATAGGTGTAATTTGACACCTGCATATCTACCAGTGATCTAACTTCCAGCTTGGGAAGAGCAGACTTCTGATAGGTGTAATTTGACACCTGCATACCTACCAGTGATCTATTCAGTCACTAACTTCCAGCTTGGGAAGAGCAGACTTCACAGTCAAAACACATGCCTAAATTTTGGACTCTGCTTCTCTTCCTGTTTTTTATGCTGACATCTCTGATGAAGAATTCTGGAGGTTTGAAAGCTTTCACATATTTGTAGAATTTTAGCTGGTCCTGATGAAAATATTTCCTGCTTTAGGACTCTGATTTTTAAAAAACTTTCAGTTGCTCCACAAAAGGACTGATGTTGTCTCTTATGAAAGCTTTCACATATTTGATGGCCTGACAGGTCCTTCCCAGCTTCCTCTCTCATTCTATGCAATTGGGAAAAGGAATTGTCATTTGTAACTAGTTACTTGTAGGTAATTCCCTCGTTACAGTCCTAGTAAATAGTTATTATTAGTTCTAAGCTCTTGCTTTATTACTCCCCCCTCCTCTTCCTCTCCACATACATGTACCCTCATCCAGTGACGCTAACCTATAATTCAAATGCACATTTAAGGCCAATATTTATCGCTAAGTAAGCACCATGGAGCTAGAACACAGGTCAATGTAAAACAGTGCACAACACCGTGTGCCAACGATTACAGGCAACCCGTGACCCTCCCGATGTATTAGGATTGCAGCTCCCATGACCCTCATTCTGGGGATTCTCGCTGGGATTGATGGGCGCTGGAATTCCACAATACCTAAAGAACCAGAGCCTCCCCACCCCCAGTCTTGCGAGAATAGAAGGAGCACAATGCATGTGCGCATGCACGAGCGCTATCCCCCGCCCCCTTGTCGCTATTGGCCAATCAAGCAGCGCTCGACGACAACCCCTCTGGGAGGATTCAGAAGGGGCGGGCCTTTCCGCGAGCCAGTCTTCCTGATCGACCACCTGGGATGGAGGTCGTCGCCTGCGAGGGCGCGCGGCGGGCTCTGTTCGCCTGGGTAGGTTCCTGAAGCCGCGCGAGAAAGGGCGGAAGCGGCCGCTCTGCGGGGAGAAGGATGGGCTCCTCGTAGCCACTGGGGGATTGCTTTTTTGCTCTTTAATTTTCGCGATTTCCGCAACACAGCTTCTTTCCAATTTAATGCTGTTAACTTATTTTCATAGGCTTGATTCCTCCGTTCCAGCTCCCTCGGTCATGTTAGGTGCAAACCCGTGTTTCAGATGCGGAATTTGGCACATCAAAACCTGTTGGTTGGTTGGATCCTGTGTCGAAATGTCTTTAAAGAGTGCACGGCTTGTGTTCCTAGCAGGAGAAAGACAGCCATCCTTCTCAAAAGCCAGTCATACGTTCATTTTAATTTAGACTGTTTCCAGAAGCTTTGAAGGACATAGTAAATTGAGACAGAACAGAACTTCTCGGGTGCCTCTCTGATCTTCTAAGATTCATGTCCGCACGGTTTTTAGTCTCATTTCGGGAGCTGGAGTTTTTCAACATCGGATCTAGGCTTGTGAGGTGGTTTAGCCTGTGCTGCTCCCTGCTGGACAAGAATATGAGTGGATCTCCATGCTATTAGCACTGACACCACGTTTTGTTAGTGTTTACCAGGCCAGCACATCATTTCAGGGTTAAAAACTCTGAGAACAGGTGACAGTTCTTGTAACATCAGTGAGGAAGACCCTTGAGATGTGGATCCTTTTCATGTCATGGAGGTAGGGAAGGAAGCCAGGGTAAGCTACATATGTAACAAAAGTAAAACAAATATAAAAGCAAAGCAAAACAAACTTTCCTGGTATCATAAAGCCTAACAAAATTATTTCACCGTGAGATCCTGTAGATTACAGTCCACTTCCTAAGACACAACACCAACAGTGAAATAAATCTGTTGCCTTCTAAGTGATGAAAATACTTTCCCCTTTGTTTCTGTTTTCTTTTTCTTCTACATATTGAAACAGATTAGTGTGGCTATCTTTTTGAAAATGGAAACATCCTTGCCACCTCACACATACACAAAAATGAGACTTTCAGCTTTTCTAGCAGTATGATGACCATTCTCTTAGACTTCAGATGGTGCCCTGTGCTTGATCTCTATCCATTGTTTAGGTTTGAGCAGGGGTGGGCAGTTAATTGCTATAGGGGGCCACATGAAAAATCTGAACTGTGTTCGGGGGTGGGTAGTAATAGGTCCCCAATTTGTGGGTAGTAATAGGCCCCCATTGGGTGAGGCCCTGCAGTGAACGAACTACAAGGCTGACATAGTTAACTCCATAAACATTTCAGGGAGTTAACTATGTGAGCATTGTAATTTGTTCACTGCAGGGGGGGAGGAGGAAAAAATTATTCTACATGTTGAAACAGATTAATGCGGCTATCTTTTTGAAAATGGAAACATCTTTGCCACCTCAAAAATGAGACTTTCAGCTTTTCTAGCACAGATTAATGCGGCTATCTTTTTGAAAATGGAAACATCTTTGCCACCTCAAAAATGAGACTTTCAGCTTTTCTAGCAGTATGATGACCATTCTCTTAGACTTCAGATGGTGCCCTGTGCTTGATCTCTATCCATCGTTTAGGTTGAGGAATAGAATTCCCTGTCAGTATCACAGATGAGCCTCAGACCTTGGGTTATAATAATAATAAAAACCAATACAATGTGTTAAAACTCATGCTTAATGTTTAACCTGAGATAATCTAGGTTCTCTTGGAGCATACCAGTCCTGTGTTGGTTAGCTCAGTGGTTCTTAACCTTTGTTAATCGGATGCTTTTGAACTGCAACTCCCAGAAACCCCAGACAGGACAGCTGGTGGTGAAGGCTTCTGGGAGTTGCAGTCCAAAACTCCTGAGTAACCCAAGGTTAAGAACCAGTGGTCTACATGCACCCGCCATCCAAAAGAGGGCAATGGCTGGACTCGAGGGTGGGGTATGGGACCAGGTTGAGACAGACATCGCCTGTCTCTTGAGAGAGCTCTCGTGTGGCAGGGCCAGGCCAGAGCACCTGGCAGGCACTCAACAGATTGAGCTTAGTGAACAAATGTAATCCTCAGCTGATACCCTCACGCCAACTCTTGAGTCAAAATGGAAACTATGAGTGGTGATGGGCGGGCTGGACTGGAGTGATGACTGGCGGGCCGGACAGGAGCGGCTCTCAGGCTGTATGTGGCCCACGGGCCGCACTTTGCCCAGGTCTGGGTTTGGGGAACAGAATTCCTTGTCAGTGACACAGATGAGCCTCAGACCTTGAGTTATAATAATAATAAAAAACAATCAAATGTGTTAAAGCTCATGCTTAATGTTTAATCTGAGATAATCTAGGTTTTCTTGTCACATACTAGTCCTGTGTTGGTTAGCTGATATAAAACACATGTAATTGTAGAGATAAAAGGAACAATGATGGCAGGAAGCAGTAAAGCAAATGAAATGTAGACAATTATATTTACATCGTCACATATTATGTTATTACTGTATATGCTGGCAAATCAGAACTGACTTATAGCAATCCTAATAGTTCTTTATACTATTAGAGTACTTACGTCAAAGTAAGTGAGATTCTTAAGGAGTGATTTCACCAGTTTCACACAATAAAAAGAACTTTAACATGCCATACAGAACTCTCTTTGTGTATAAATTAAACATTAATCGGGATTAGTGGTTTCATCAGTTTCGCACAATAAAAAGAACTTTAAAATGCCATACAGAACTCTCTCTGTGTATAAATTAAACATTAATCGGGATTAAGCCCCAAATGTTGTCCCTTCCCCTTCCCCGACAACTGGAGGACTAAAAAAGAGCTGATTTTTAGATGGTGCAGAAGGCTGCATCAGGAGGAGAACAAAGTTCTGAAAACTTCACAAGGAGAACAGTGGTTTCAGTCTTACATTTCTTTCTTTCAAATCCACTTCAACTCTGTTGTCAAATCACATATGATGTGCTGTCACTAAGAGCATCTTCCAGGCTTATGAAAAATTTCAGGACTGGTTTTACCATTGATACCCCACAAATGATACAAATGGGCAAGTAGGGATTTGAATCCAGAGCTCCAGAATCCTAGCCCATCACTCTATCCAGTACACCACACTTGCTCTCTTATGCCATTTAACTATATGTTGTGTGCATGAGTTCTGTGTTTCTGATCAATTTTGTACCCATCCGGAACACATTCCATGTTTCTCCCGTTAGCACTTTAAGCAAGTGAAAAATGCAAGGATACTACAGAATTCTCCCTTCTACTGGATTGGTAATAACACATTGCTGTATGTAAAATGGATTATAGTGGCAGTTTGCAAAATAATGTTGAGAAACATCTTAATACCAGTAATTAGATGATACCTGTAGCCGAGGGGAGCGGGGAAGGAACCCGCTCTCAGTTCAAGTGAAGTAGCAGGAGCTCTGCTTGTGCTGCACTCCATCTTAATACCTGTAATTAGATGATACCTGTAGCTGAGGGGTGTGTGGAAGGAACCTGCTCTCAGTTCAAGTAGCAGGAGCTCTGCTTGTGCTGCACTGCAGTGCAAGGAGAGTGGTTTTATGATTTGGGCACTGAGATGACATCCTGCTAGGGGACAGAGTTTAGAGGGCATCGAGGCAAGGCATGGCACACAGCAAAATAAAATGCCATCTGTTCAGTGTTGAAGCTGTGTGTGTGCTCTTTGAAAGATACACATTTCTCCAAGTGTGAGCTGTTCATTGTGTTGCTAATTAAAGACTGCTTGTCATTGTACATGGTCAATGAAAACATCAAAACAGGGAAAAGGCAGACCTCATGTGGTTCTGGTGCCCTCCCATTCCCATACAATTTGTTTCTCACATTCTCAGCTGCCATGTGGTATGAACATCAGGGTGGTTTAAAATGCTCTGCCGACAAGCCATAGCTTGAAAGTTTTTTTGTAAAATTTAATATATAAACATAAAAAACCCATAGTCTTCATGTTAAACCGAAGGATAAGGAACTGGATGCATCTAATCTGTTAAAAAAAAGATTTGGAAGTAAACAATCATACAAGTTAATGTAACTTACATCCAAGTAATGGCTAGACCAATAGCTGTGTGTTTTATGTAGTTTGTGCTTTGATTTGGGGATTAGTATGAACTGGACAGATAGACACATAACCAATCTAAAGATACATACAAGATACAAATTTATGCTTTAAGATATATACTAATGTACTGTATGTTTCTTAAAAGATAAATTTCTCACAGGAGTGCTAGTGATTTCACTAAATCTAGTAAGATTTATGTTCTAATCAAGACTAGACTGTCTTGTACTGTTGGCTGCATTTTACACTGCAGAAGACTAAAATTCGTGATATCAGAAGCATAAAAGGTTAATGACACAGGATTGCTGATAATGACATTTTGTCAATTCTTTGAAGTAAAGCAGTGACATAAAAGACGTTAATGACACAGGATTGCTGATGACATTTTGTCAGTTCTTTGAAGTAAAGCAGTGACATAAAAGAGTGGCATAAAATATGTACTGTAATAGTATAAAGAACTTGAATTCAATTTCCATTTTGTTTGCAAAATGCAGATGGAAGCATAGGAATCCCTGAATTAACTAGTGTTAAGATAAATGTACCTCATTTCTCTTTCTTTCCTACAGGGAGCAAACAGTTATGGACAGCTTGGTCTTGGTCACACAGAAGACGTACTCCTGCCTCAGGCCTTGACACGATTTTTCTGTAATGAGGAAAACATTGAAAACATTACTGGAGGAGGGGGACATTCTGCAGTTCTCACTGGTAAAATAATATTAATGACTAATGCACATTTCCAAAGTAGTATACTTGGAAATGTTTTGTTTATCTCAGTATTGCACTGCCTCCTATGTGAACCTTATAATATGTATGTATGTTTTGCTGATTTTGCATTCCTCAGGATTTAATTGAACATAATGCTTAATTTTTTTTTGGGGGGGGTGTCTCATTTTCATTGCTATCCCATATGCACTCATGGAACAAGTTTATTGTTAAAGGAGTGATAGATCAGTTTGCAAGGCTCAACTGATGCTCCTCCCCCATTTTCAGTTCTTTCCCGCTAGTTGCTGAGATCAGAGAGGTTAAAGGAGGATCAGTTTGCAAGGCTCAACTGATGTTCCTCCCCCATTTTCAGTTCTTTCCCACTAGTTGCTGAGACCAGAGAGACATGGTTTAGCAACTTATGGTGTCTGTTTTGGGGTTTTGTTTTATGGAATCTAGAGGAAGTTGGACACATGTGCCTCACCTCCTTTACTTTTATTCTACTTATTTATTTAAACCTACAACCCACCCATTTAGTAGACAAACCACTGCTCTGGGCAGCTTCCAGGAAAATAACATAACTGTACAACATAAAATAATAAAATATATAAAAACAAATATCCCTCGTAAAACCTCCAATGTAACAAATATTCCAAGACTCAGGATGGCTAACCATGGATGAACACAAAGTTGTTACAAAATTAATATTTATTTTTAAACATTTATATTCCACCCAACTTAGTGTGACCACCTACCAATCTTGGCAAGAAAGGTCTTCAGAGATGTTGTAGCATTGTTTCGCTGCACTTTGTTACAGAGTGATAAAGCCTAGTTCCAGATGATATGGAGCTTTGTAATTTGGTCAATTGAGTTTGGTTACAGCTCCTTTGCAGTTTTTCCTTGTTCACACAGCAAGATGGTTGATTGGAGAAATGTGGTCCCGAATCTCTTTATCCAAGTTAAAAGTTGAACTCCTGAAAATGGCTAATGTGTTTAGTCTGAAGATGACATGTTGCTCCATGCAACTTCTAAATCATTTTAACGATTTCATGTTCCATCATGGGGAAAGGGAAGCCTGTAGAGTTTAGAAGGGGCTGAGGGCTTTACTGAAAGTTCATAAAATGAAATGACATTGCTGGGGTGATAGTAGTGCTGCTCTTTCTCATTTTTTGCATCATGACTGGATGAGGACTTTTCACTGTTCAAAGACGCTTCCACAGGTTTAGATCACAGATAGACAAAATGCAGCACATGGGTCACATATGCAACCCTAGGTCATTTCTGAGGCCTCCCAAGCCTCCATAGGAAACTAAAAATAAAAAATGAGTGGGAAGAAAATATATTTTTTCCTTCTCCTGGTGCCTGCTTTGTGTACTGAAGCTGCAAAGCAACCCAAGGCCTGGAAGAGATCAAAAACAAAAAATTCAAAACTCAAAAGGAACCTTTGGTTTTTTGTCTTTCTTTCTTTGGTCATTTGTAGTGTGATCCCATCAAAATTTTACCCACCCCTCGGATACAAATATAACATTGATAATGTGATTCTGTGAACTGTGCAGGGAATATTTATGTTGTTTTTTTGTTAATTACAGCACTTGTTACACTTGCACAGTTGCATGCTGCATAGGAATTACATTTGGATTAAATTCTCTAACTGGAAAAAAGGTGTCATGCTTGGAATGCTCAGAACTGGAAGAGATGATGCAGTAACTGCATGGGCTGCAAACCAGAGTTTAATTCTTTTCCATGTGTCATCTTGGAATCCAGAATCCAGAATCCATTCAAAGTAATAGCTTCTATAGCTTTAAGATACCTCTTATTTCTGAACACTGAGGAGTGAACAAATTAGAAGAAATGTACAGATCAATAGCAGCACTCCTGTGATCTGATTTGGTCTATAGGATAGTGCCTCCCTGCCAGTAGGAGTAGAACTGTCTTGAGGAAAATTTTGCATGAATTGAATGATTACAGGAGCTTGTGAAAAGTTTTATAGAGAGATTTAAGAGATTTGCTATATTTCTGTTATAATAATCCTGGTGTCTAACAATTTTCTCTCCCCCACCCCCCTCTTTTTGCATGTTCAGTGACTCAAAGTAGTAGCAAACTAACCTAGTATTAATCTGTATGAGATTTCTTCAGTAGTTAGATATGATTCTGAGTGGTGGGACTGCACCTGACATGGCCCCCTGCTTTTCACAGTGGTGTAGTGGAGGCAGATTTCCTGAGGTTGAAACCCTAGGACTTTCTGATTAACAGGGACTATAACATAATAATCTGCTTCCTCCCTTAAGCCTTTGTTCTTGCCTTTAATATAGGTGCAATCCTCACAGTAGTTGGGAGAAAAGTGAATTTTCTCAGAAACAGTGTATTCTTACAAGTTGTCTTTGTTGTATTTGTCATTGGTTTGTTATTGAATGGGCAATTAAGAACCATTAGCTTTACAAAATACCTGTCCTTATTTGATAATATGGACTAATGAATCTGTTTCCAGTTTTTTTTTTTACTTTTCCAGCCGGGGATAGCTATGGAGAATCTGCCAGCCATACTACCATATTTTTCATAACATCTCTTTTTTGCCACAGAGCCTGTGCAGTTTCAGTTCTGGACTGAAGTGCTGACAATGGAATTTACACACCTGCCAGGCTGACTTGTCAGTGAAGTTCAGTGGTGCATTCCTGTGCTATCTTTCACAGTTTGTGTCATGCCCTTCTGAGTGACTTGAATTAAAATGCTAGTGGAGAGGAACTGCTCTCTAGATTTTAGTAGATTATAGTTCCCATAATCTCCAATTATTGCACATATTGTTTGGAACTGATGGGAGTTGGAGTTCAGCCACAGGTTCCTTGCCATATAGTAGACATAGAGTGGCCTGAGCATTATTAACATGAACATTCCTCTTAAATTTCTCAACAGAAAGAGGCTGTCAATATTTGCATGTGAAAGTGATTTATTGGGCCAAATGTTTGGTATTTGTTCATTTTGCAAATGTGCTTCATATTTGCAAAATATTTGTTCATTTTTGCAGACACTGGAAAACTCTTCTTCTGTGGCCAGAATAAAGATGGGCAGTTGGGGCTTGGTCATGCCAAAGACGTGACACAGTTTACGTTATGCACCTCTCTGTCCGGATGTCCTGTCGTACAAGTTGCTTGTGGTTGGGATTTTACAATCATACTCGCAGGTAAAATCTGTCATTGGAACTAAAACTAATAGCACTTGCAGTGAAAACAACATGTTCTCTGCAGGCTCCTGTGATGGTCCAAGACCTTTACAATGTACTGTATGTAAATGACAAGGATAGAAATTGTAGAGCGTTTGGAAATGGTAAACACTCGTACCTTATCCAGTCACTGAGGATAGGACTAACCTGAATTCATGAAGAGGGAGAGCAGCTGTCCTCCGTGCCCTTCACCACTGCTGTCTTCATGTCAAAGGGTGATAGTTTGAAGTTGACAACATCCACTGTGTGCAGCCTCTCCATGCAAATGGAAACCATGAGTTTTTTGGGGGTCTGGAACATCTGTGGCACTGTCACATGTAATGAAGACTGTCCCTTTCAGATTATTCTCCCTTTAATGACAATACGGAGAGGAGGATTCAGGTGGGTGCTATTCTGGATGCCTGAATATGGCAACTGAATGGTGGTGTAGTATAGTGGTTAGGAAAATAAGCTGTGGAGTAAGACTCTTGCTTACTCTCATGCAACATTGATTCATACACCCAATTTAGAAAGTGTTATAAATGAGTAATAATGATCCCCTAAGACTCTTGCTTAATTGTGCAGCATTGATTCATACACCCAATAAAGTGTTATAAATGAGTAATAATGATCCCATCTGATAGTTTTCAATGTGTTCCATCATGCCTCCTGTTCCTAATGGAAATGAATTATGATGCTCTGGATGTCTACCTGAGGCTGACAATTAAGCTATTGCATTGCATGTCTACACCTTGCAGGAAGCGGCCAAGTGCTGTCGTGTGGATCTAATTCTTTTGGGCAATTGGGAGTTCCTCCAACGTCAGCAGGATGTTTTTTTCCACAGAAGATTGAGGTAAGGTGCTTGAAAAATTGATGCTCTGCCAGCATCAGCATTTAGGAACAGAGGAATCTGGGTTATACTGACTCAGACCCCGAGTCCATTTAACCCAACACTGTGAACATTTGTGAGGCAGCATCTCCCAGATTTCAGACAGGGATCTTTCTTCGCCTTTGCTGGATATTGAACATAACATCTTTTGCCCGCCTTTCCCTTTAATTAGTTATTCCGTGGGTGGAACGTAGTAGTATTTTTCAGTTATATATATCATTGTAGATCAGTTTTCTTCAACCTTGCATCATTTAATTGTTTTGGACTACATCTCCCATCACTAGCCATGCTGTCTGTGGATGACGTTAGGTGTAGTCCAATATATCTAAAAGATACCATGCTAAGGAAGGCCATTATAGATGGAAGCTGCAGGAGATGATGTTTTAAATAATGTATGTAATACAGCTTTGTTCATTAATTTTGAAAATCCTAGTGTTCAAAGAGAAGTACATTCTCTGGCACGTGTTCCTAAAGAGTATGTCTTCCCTCCATATCCCCCAGTCTTTACAGGGCAAGGTGGTAAATGTTGCTGCTGGACTCAGGCATGCGCTTGCTGTCACAGGTGAGTTACATTTTAGATGTAGAGAGAAACTAGGATATTAAAGAACACAAAAATTCGTCACTGGCAAATGTCATTCCATTCTTCTGCCAATTTTTGTACTATAATGACTGTGTGGAACATAGTTACGTGCCCCAGAAATTTTCAGCATAGAGCTTGTGATATCCGTAGGGAGAAGAGTATGGCAACATCATCTGATAGCTAGAAGGATAGTGGCCAGATATTTTGATTTGGGGTGGCCTGGGTATTACAAGGCTAGCCAACACAGATAAGTGAAAAGGGAGCGAGATGTGATGCATTCTAAGTATTTTGTCAAACAGGCCCCACGTCATCTACCAGGAAATAAATATATACACAGGCCGGGCAAACACAGCCTGATGAAATTCATGGCTGGGTCTGTCTCTGCCCTTGGAAGGAGAGATCAGAGGGATGTTAGGGGTTGCTGGACATCCATACTTCTCTTTCCATGGCCATTTCTGTCTTTCTGCCTGTATGTGCACTGTTTTCGGATTTCTTAAGGCAACTCTTAAGGCAATTCTGCATTATATTTACAATACCTCTGAAATAAGAGTTTGCCTGTTGTGCTCACATACTTGGCCTTTTCAAACAGTAACGGGAACTAAGAAAGCACATCCACTGCCTCCTGGATTTTAAGCAACGTTTTGTTACTTGAAGATTGGAATGCACGTTGATTCTGACTTTTTGTTTTGCTTTTCTGTAGCTGTAATGGGCAGGGCAAACCCAGCAGCAATTCAACTTCCTTTTATTCTTTCCTGCGATGGGCCAATGTTCAGTTTTAGTTGGATTGGGAACAGGATGATATTGCTAAATGCAAATACTTGGTGTTTGTTAAATGCAATTATATTTATTTCTGCCGGATCTTTATAATGTTGGTCTTCTCTCAGGAAAAGAAATACAAAGGTACAGTATTCAGGAGAATTTACCAATATATAGTAACCTTACATCAGCTTTACACTACTAAGAGTAATGCATAGTTTTGTCTAAACTGATACCTTCTCAATGTGTTTGATTGGCTGGAGACAGCATAGTTTGGTCAATAGCTAACTGGCTAATGCTGAGAGGAGTTCTAGTCTAAGCACAGCTGGTGGGCACCATGTTTGAGAATATTGTGTCAGGAGAATCCTTCATGACTGCAACTAGCCAGGTACACATACTGTAGGTGTAAGTGGGACTCATGTATGCACCAGTTCCTAATCATTGACTTATGGAGTGGTACATGGTGACTCTGGAAGCTGCACTATTGAAAAGGTTTTGTCATAATTAAAAATAAGTAGAAGTGGCCTCATACACATTTCTTCTGTAGCAGAAAGCAGTATTGCCTTGAGTTATGAGCATCTTGGTGTCATTTCACAAATTACATAGAGACAACAGGGAGTTTGCCACTAAAAATGAAATTGCACTCAATTAGATTTCTGTAATTTCTTTGTCCTATATTGGTGGCATTTTCAACTGTATATTTTATACATTTAAAGCGTGGACCTAAAATAATGGGATGTGTTAAATCACCTTACATAGAGATATAGCTGATTTGGGTTGTTGAAGATTTTTACTCCTCAACCATTGTACTGTTATAATTTATGTGTTAACACATCTTTTATGCTGCCATTAATAAAAATATTAGCACACTCTCCATTGTGTGTAAGTTGGGGAATGGCATCTTTAACAATAATCATTCTCTCTTCGTTTGCATGACGAAAAGATAGGGGCTCTGTGTTCCAGTGGGGAATTGGTATGGCCTCTCAGGCAAAGCGGGCTTGCCAAGGAGAAATGGTTCCATCCTTTTTGAAGGCAAAAGAACCTTGTGAAGTGACAGGTGTGTTTTCCAATAGATATGTTGCATTCGTGTATATCATGTGTTAGGTGCTAAAATACTTCTGTTATATACTGTATAGGTGTCTTGTATTCAAAGAACCACAGATTTAGTCTTAGAAACTAGTCATTCGCCATGATATTCCATTAGTCCCTTTGACCAGTAATGGGGTTTTGAGAACTTTGGTTGACATGAAAGTATGTCTTAATGGCATATCCAATGGTAAATGTCCCTTGTGACTAGGTAAAAGTAATGGTTCCCCTTGACATTTAGTTCAGTTCTGACTCGAGAGGGTGGTGCTCATTCCTGTTTCTAAGCTGTAGAGCCAGCGTTTGGCCAAAGATAGTTTCCATGGTCATGTGGCCAGCACAACTAGACACAGAATGCCGTTACCTTCCCACCATTGTGGTACCTATTTATCTACTCACATGCTTTCGAACTGCTAGGTTGGCAGGAGCTGGGACAAGCGACGGGAGCTCACTCCATCGCGTGGATTCGATCTTACGACTGCTGGTCTTCTGACCTTGCAGCACAGAGGCTTCTGTAGTTTAACCCACAGCGCGAACACGTCCCTTCCCTTGTGATTAGACTCATCCACTTGGCCATAGAAGCAACTTTCTTTGTTTCTTATTGAATATATTTCTGGCCCCCCTTTCACTAAAAGATAGCATTCAAAATAGCTCATCATAATAATCATGTGCTATCAAGTTGAACCTTTTCAGGGTTTTCTAGGTAGCAAATCAGAAGTGGTTTGCCGTTCCTGTCTTCTGGGGACGCCCTGTGACCCTGTAACTTGCCCAAGGCCACACAAGCTGCTCTTCTCCAGGGAGACACAGTGGGGAATTGAACTCCCAGCCTCTGGCTCCACAACTGGATCCCCAAGATGGCTAAAAATACAAATAAAAAGAAAAACAGATGAGACAGTAAGACCATTAAACAAAATTATCATGATGCTCAGGAAACATCTAAAACAATTCTTAAAAGAGATGTGTCTTCATAGCCTTGCAAAAGAGCACAGAGAATGGGAACTGATGACAAATCTGAGAGAACTGCAGTTGGCAGAAGAGCAAGGTTTTCCCATATGACTGTCAAACAGTCCTACGCAGACCATCTCATGACGGCCTTTCCTGGAGATCTTAACATTTGGGCAGACTCCTAATGGTTCTGATATTCTACTCTGGTAGCCTCATTAGCCAAGCCACAGTTATTGAAAATTTTCCTGAATAGAAGCTGGAAAAGAGACTACATGTCTTGTAAAATTTATTGCAAAAATATTATTCCTCCACAATCTAAGCAACTTCCTTTCCTACATTTGTGTCTTTTGTGAAGTCTGGCCATATACAGCTATGTTGCATATAATGTCTTTACAAATTCTGCATTGCAAAATTAAATCTCTTCTGCTGATTAAATATAACGGGCTATTATTACAGGTCTAGAAAATATGACTGTAAAGAGTGTCACATCTGGCTCATTCCATGCCACAGCACTAACAGGTAAGTTTCTTCGTCATGATCATCTTTTCTGTTTGGCTGAAATGTATGAAGGCTTTTGAAGTATATTATTGCTGTGACTGAGTGTAACTTTCCTGTGAAATGTGTGTATATTGTGTGTGTTGTTGCTAAAGTTTAATTCAGGGACCACAAAGTTCACTCTTCTTGATCTTGCCTTCTTTTAACAGATCTGTGTCCCACCCCAAAGGTGTAGCAATTAGGACATTCCTTTTGCCATGTTAAACATAAAGGATTTTTTTAAAAAAAGTCATTGTATATAAAGCTATTTGTTGTGTTGAGTCTTTGTAAAGAAGTCATGTTTGTCTCTATGTTGCATGGTTCGTATGAAAAATACTAAATTTTGTGTTATGTCAGTTTGAGTTGTGGTTTTGGAGTAGAGTAAGGTTGCAGCTGTGGTTAGTTGTATACATTGCAGCTTATGCTTCACTTCTTGCACTTTGTGTTGGGTGTGTTGCAACTTCTTAAAATTTAGCATTGTCTTTTAAAACGTTTGTTTGTTTTGCTATATATAGACAAGACAGAGAGCAAATCTGTAAGGAAACAATGACATTTAATCAATATTCCAGTGTCCTTAAGGTACCTTGTGTTAAGACACTTTTCTCTCTCCTTTTTTAAATAACTTTCTTTTCTTGTTTCAGAAGAAGGAGAGTTGTATGTTTGGGGAAGCAACAAACACAACCAGCTGGTGAGCAAAGATTATTTTCTTTTAAAACCACAGAAGATAGAAAGTCATTATTTTTGGGGTGAAAAAAACAGAAGAGTCTGGAATGGATGGACGCACATGGTGGCACAAACAGGTATGACATAAAAACTCCTGAAGGTTACATGTAAAATATTTAAAGTCAGTCTGATGAAAGAGAAACTTTTCAGGCTGAGTTCTGTGGAACGTGTAGTAAAATTCTCTTAACTCAATAGTCCCCAACCTTTTCTGAACCACGGACCAGTTGGAGGAGGGCGGGGTCCATGTGGAGGAGTGGGGCACCCCCCGCACTCACAGGTGGGCGGGGTGCACTTGCATGTATGCTCAGGTGGGTGGAGCAGCCGTGTGTGTGGGTGGGCAGGTGGGACATGCGTGAATGTGTGCGTGCAGGGGAGAGTGCGTGCGGGCCCCCCGGGGACATCTGGGTCTGTGGTGTGGTCCTGCCAAGGCCACAGACTGGAACGGGCTGCAGACCAGGGGTTGGGGACCCCTGCTCTAACTGGAAAAATCTAAGGTGGGAGTTTGCTTTAACAACTAAGTTATGTTGGTTTCCATCTTGCTGAGATCCTGTGATAGAGGAACAGAGTCCACAACACAGTAAAGGAAAAGAAAACATTATAAATACCTGTGCGGATAGTGTTGTGACCTTGTGTTCTCTTCTCTGCTTCTTCCACTAGTGTGGTTCTGAGGAGATCACAGACTTTGTCTTCTATTTTCAGTACTTTAGCATCTCATTGAGACCCTAAACTGGTTGATGTTAATTTTTACGCTGCCTTTGTGGATTTTTCATCACCCTTTGACCTGATAGATAGAGAGCATCTGTGGTATAAATTGGGAAAAACAAACATTGATAAGAGTTTCCTGTGGCTCATACAGCAACTACATAAAGAAAATACGATGCAAGTGCGTATAGGCTTACAGGGAGCTCTATCACAACAAGTTCGCATTAGCCGAGGGGTGAAACAAGGTTGTATTTTAGCACCTTTTCTCTTCAAATTTTATATAAACAGTCTTATCCCTCAAATGGCTTCCCCCACATTCTTCCCTCCAACCATTGGCTGTAGGAAGATCTCAATACTGCTTTATGCTGATGACCTGGTCTTGCTATCTTTGAATAAAATTGGTCTTAAAAGAATGCTGTCCAAATTTGGGCCGCTCTGTAAAGAGGAATGGCTAACAATCAACTATACCAAAACAAAAATCATGGTCTGTGGGAAGAGAGCCCCTAAGCATAACTGGTCACTAGATGGGCATGCTATTGAGCAGGTACACTCATTTAAA